GATGCATTTGACTTTGGGATCATGTCCTTAAAAAGTACTGGGGCATGCAACAGGTATATGAAAAAATGCTCAATATCACTAATCATCAAGGAAATCCAAATTAAAGCCACAACAAGACATTACCTCACACCTGTTAAAATGGCCATAAAAAAGACAAAAGATAAGTGCTGGTGAGGGTATGGAGAAAAGGGAAGTCTTGCACATTGTTAGTGGGAATGTAAATCAGTTCGGCCATCATGGAAAACAGTTATGGAGATTCCTAAAGAAAATAAAAAATAGAACTACTGTATCATCCAGCAATCCCATTACTGGGTATAAATCCAAGGGAAATGAAATCAGCAGTCAAAGACATATTTGCATTCTTCTGTTCATTGTAGGATTATTCGCAATAGCCAAGATAAGGAATCAATCTAAGTGTCCATCAACTGGTGAATGGATTAAGCAAATTTGATATATATACATAAGGGAATACTCTTCAGCCTTCAAAAAAGAAGGACATCTTGTCATTTTTGGCTACATGAATGAACCTGAAGGATATTATGTTAAATGAAATAAGCTACGTTCAGAAAGACAAATACCACATGATCTCGTATGTGGAGTCTAAAAAGTTAAAGTCAGAGAGTAGAATGACAGTTACCAGGAGATAGGTGGTGCGGGGATTGGGGAGTTATTGGTAACAGCACACAAAACTTTAAGAATGAAGTTCAACACATCTATTGTAGAACATGGAGACTATAGTTAATAACAATGCAGTGCCTGTAATCCCAGCTATTAGGAAGGCTGAGGCAGGAGGATCACTTGAGCCCAGGAGTTCAAGGCGCAGTGACCCCTGGTCACAACACTGCACTCCAGCCTGGCTACAGAGTGAGACCCTGACTCCAAAAACAAACAACAATGTGTACTTGAACTGCAAAGAGAGATTTTAAGTGTTTTCACAAGTATGTGAGGTAATGCATATGTTAATCAGCTTGATTTAGTCATTTCACTACACATATTTTGAACAGTATGTTGTACGCCATAAATATATACAATTTTTGTCAATTTTAAAAATAGTTTTTTGTTTTTTTGTTTTTTTTTTTTTTTTTGAGACGGAGTCTTGCTCTGTGCCCCAGGCTGGAGTGCAGTGGCGCGATCTCGGCTCACTGCAAGCTCCGCCCCCCCGGGTTCACGCCATTCTCCTGCCTCAGCCTCCCTAGTAGCTGGGACTACAGGCACCCGCCACCTCGACCGGCTAATTTTCTTGTATTTTTAGTAGAGACAGGGTTTCACCGTGTTAGCCAGGATGGTCTCGATCTCCTGACCCCGTGATCCGCCCGCCTTGGCCTCCCAAAGTGCTGGGATTTCAGGCTTAAGCCACCGCCCCCGGCCTAAAAACAGATTTTTAAAAAGTACTGGAGCATGCATTTCCCTTGCCGTGCCTCTCCTGTTGAGGTAGGAGTGAAAATTCTGCAGCCATTTCAGACACTGAGAGACAAGTTGTCCGTCAAGTTTGACAAAGCAGCTGTATCAGCCCTGGATCACCCACCTCTGTAATTTGAGAAACTTTTATTGTGTTTAAGCCACTGTGTTTTGGGTCTTATTCTTAAAACAATTTAGACTGTACTGAAACTAATAGAGGAATAGATGAGCTTAAGGGTTAGACTTGGTGAAAAGGGGGAATGGGATGAAAGCCTTAGGTGAAATTGCCCATTCTGCATAAACGGCTTCAAGGAGGAACATCTGTACAATGGGAAAGAAAGATTCGTCCTTAACCAAAAGTCATTGAACCTAATGAGTTGGCCATTTGGCCTTGGACAAGTCACTTAAACTTTCTCTGTATTTGAGACTTAAATTGGAAAAAATTGAAGAAGTTGGCCTCTCAAGAATCCTTTCTAGCTATCATTTCATAAATGCATGTTGTCCTAGAAAAGGGAATAACGAGAAAGCTTGAGACAGTAAGTATCCAAATTGATCCTAAGATGCTTACTAGTAAGTGGATCAACAACAGGAGCAGAGCAGATGTAATGGAGTGGGTCCAGTACAGTTTTATTGTCTTCAATCTCTGTTTACAAACTAGTGTGTGTTTGTTTGTTTGTTGAAACAGGGTCTTGCTCTGTCACTCAGGCTAGGTTGCAGTGGTGTCATTGCAGCTCACTGCAGCCCCAACCTCCCAGGCTCAAATGATTCTCCTGCTTCAACCTCCCGAGTAACCGGGACTACAGGCACACGCCACCACACCTGGTTAATTTTTGTATTTTCTGTAGCGACAGGGTTTCACCATGTTGTCCAGGTTAGCAAACTGGTTAACTGACTTAGTGTCGTTTTGTTGAACCTTGCTAAAAGCAAAGAATAGTAGCCAACACAAACTCACATTCTGGCCTTTTCTAGACACTTTCCTCAGAGCTATATATGGGCTTGACGATCTGCCTTCAAAGTTAATATGGGTGACATTTTTCCCCAATACATTTGGGAACAGTCACTAGCCTTCTGGCCTGCAATATGTTTCCACCTGCTAACCAATGCCATATATATCTTAGATCTTTGTTATGGTAGGTAGCACACCATTTTCAGGGACCAACTTTCTCTTCTAGGGAACACACTAAGCTACTGTAACAAAGAGACTAAAAAATATAGTAATTAAGATAAACATTTTTCTCTCATATAACAGACCAGAGGTACTCTCTGCTTCGGAAGGTAATTCAGGGCCCAGGTTCCTTCTATATTATGCTCGACAGTCCCTTATGTGTTATTCTTTTTGTTGTCGTTTTGAGATGGAATCTCGCTCTGTGGCCCAGGCTGGAGTGCAGTGGCACCATCTCGGTTTACTGCAACCTCTGCCTCTCAGGTTCAAGCAATATTCCCCCCTCAGCCTCGGAGTAGCTGGTATTACAGGCGCCCGCCACCACGCCTGGCTAATATTTGTATTTTTAGTAGACACGAGGTTTCCCCAGGCTTGTCTCGAACTCCTAACCTCAAGTGATCCTCCTTCCTCGATCTCCCAAAGTTCTGGGATTACAGCGCGAACTACTATGCCCAGCCCCTTATGCATTATTCTTGTTTTCATGGTTGTAAAGTACCGCCATCACAACTGAGTACCAGCCTATGTAAAAGAAGAAAGAGGGGAAGTAGAGGGCAAGTAGATTCTCTTTAAGAATTTACCTGGCTGGGGCTGGGTGTGGTGGCTCACACCTGTAATCCTAGCACCTTGGGAGGCCGAGGAGGGCAGATCACCTGATGTCAGGAGTTCCAGACCAGCCTGGCTAACATGGTGAAACCTCGTTTCTACTAAAAATACAAAAATTAGCTGGGCATGGTGGTGCACGCCTGTAATCCCAGCTACTCGGGAGGCTGAGGCAGGAGAATCGCTTGAACCCGGGAGGCGGAGTTTGCAGTGAGCCGAGATCGTGCCATTGCACTCTAGCCTGGGTGACAAGACCGAAACTGTCTCAAAAAAAAAAAAAAAAGAATTTACCTGGCCGGGCGTGGTGGCTCACGCCTGTAACCCAGCACTTTGGGAGGCCAAGGCGGGCGGATCATCTGAGGTCAGGAGTTCAAGACCAACATGGTGAAACCCCGTCTCTACTAAAAATACAAAAAATTAGCTGGACCTGGTGGCACGTGCATGTAATCCCTGCTATTCAGGAGGCTGAGGTAGGAGAATCCCTTGAACCTGGGAGGTGGAGGTTGCAGTGAGCCGAGATGGTGCCACTGCACTCCAGCCTGGGCAACAGAGCGAGACTCCGTCTCAAAAAAATAAAAAAAGAATTTACCTAACCTAACCTAATATCTTGTGATACAACACTTGCCTAACTTTAATTTTTTTTTTTTGACAGGGTCTCACTCTGTTGCCCAGCTTGGAGTGCAGTGGTGCAAACAGCTCATTGTGGCATTGACCTCCTGGGCTCAAACAATCCTCCCACTTCAGCCTCCTATGTAGCTGGGACCACAGGCATGTGCCACCATGCCCAGTTAACTTTAAAAAAACCTTTTTTTTTTTTTTTTTTTTTTTTTTTTTTTTTTTTT